AGGTGAGGGACTGGAAAAGAAAAGCACAAAATGAAAGCGAATGGAGAAATATTGTACACCATGCCCTTCAGAGTATTAAGAATATTGTATATACATATTTAAGTTAAAGTTTTGTTAAAAAAAATTGTAATTAGTTAATATTAGGAGTATGTCGTAAAAAAATGCCCTAGACCTTTGAACGGTCTAACTATGCAAAAAGAATATCTTAACCTTAGATTAATGTTCATTAATCTAAGATCTTAACATCTGGTTCCTGTGCTGTTGGATGTGACACATCTTGAATAATTAGAAATAAATTATTTCATATTTTATTCATACTAAACCCATCGTTGTGATAAAAGATATTCTCTAATTTACTTACGTATCGAAATAAAATACTCTTAATCTTATAGACCCCTCTCTTTTACATTACGTATTTTTTTTATTAAGTTTTCCGAACAAATTTAAGAATCAACGATGTAAGGATATTTACTATACGTTATTAGCATACTAGGTTAGAGAAAGTAGCAAAAAACAAAACGAACAGAAAAGCAAAAGCAAAAAAAGCAAAAACGTCTGAGTAAATCTGAAACTAATTATGTATACAAAGAAAAAACTGTTAAATTTCGGTTTTATGTTAAATGCTTTACATATTTATATATAAAATATTCTACTATCATGCGAATTTACTTATTATGTACGTTTTATTGATAAACCCAATGAAGCCAATGACATGACATACGAAAACAAGAACAAAATGAAGACATTATTAAGATTAAGAAATAAAAATGAGAAAAGAATGAGGTAGTTGGTGGTAGATTATTGCGAAGATAGAATGGGTTAAAAATAGATCAATGAAAAGATGGAAAAAAGAGATATGGCATTAGTCAAGCAGAAAGTAGCAGGATGTTCTAACAGAAGGCACCCATAACTAAGTAATTTTTATGGATGCCAGGTATTTTGTATAAAACTTAGAGGTCGCTGGTTAAATGATAGTAGAAATAACAATGAAGAAAAATGCAATATTTTGATTATAAATAAATTAGCGAAAAATAGCAAATACATCCGTGAATAAATTACGAAATTAACTGATCTTAACTCATACTGTGGTCTGTACAAAGAACATAAACTACCCTTTTGAAATATTGATGTATTCGTAGAGGGGAAGAAGAATGGGTCGCGGTACGTCACAACGCCATCAGAGGCACAGAAGAGGACTTAACCGATACATTCGATATGCTTACTGTTCTCAGTCTCGTGAGGAAGTGGAAGTCTTGAGACTTGAGATGGTCCGAGAGGACCCTCTAACCGTTAGGTGGTTATGAACAAAATGCATCCCATAAATTAACCATATTGTAGGACGATTTTGAAAGGTGATAATATAAGCTAATTGTCACGGTAACATGATACTTTACATAAGTTTCTATATTTGTGACACAAAATACAAAAGAGAAAGGCAAATTCTCTGTACTTAAAACCATAAATGTATTTAAGCCAGTTTAACGATTTTACGAGATTTTATGAAATAACCGGAAACAATATATTTTAAAGCAAAGTCGTTAGAATATACCATTAAATCAGAGCATATTATGGTATAGTAAAAGTACGTAAAAAAACTATAAAAATATGACAACAAACACTACGTACTTTCCCAAACACCAGCACCTAGCTGAAAGGTAATAGTAATCCTTTTATCAAACCACAACCGGTATTACAAAAATCCACACCGAGAAGAATCTTCGAAAAAGGAAAAAGAAACTTTGTACAGCGCACTCGAAACATATTTCAGATCAATTGTAATCAAAAAAGTTTCAGAAACCTAAACTCAGAATAATCACAGATATACAAGTAAATACGCAGACGAACATATAGTCTGCAACTAGACGATAAGTGTTTGCACAACACCACAAACAACTGGGATTTTTTGTAACCTAATGTATCTCGGAAACTGATAATAGGCTTCTTTATAAATCAAAAGCTTTTGGACTAAAACATGAATGTATGATATACACAAGAACTTTTAGATCGCAGCGAGAAAAGGTCTACGAGGCGAAATCTATAATGTACAAATATTTTAATACTATTTACTCAAATACAGTGCCAAAAGATAAAGTTCCAAAGAAAGTAGGGTAGTCTGGTAGTTCTAGAAGTCCAGAAACCTGCCGAAGTTCCAAGGACATGTATAATATTTAATTAAATAAACCAATTAGCTAAAGTACGGCTGGTGTAGAACAGACAGCTTTCAGAGAATACAAAAAATTTGATATTGAAAGATTCTAAAGTAAAAATTTAATTCCAATTTATTACAACAGAACAAATCGAACAAATAACCAAATAAAACACACCGATATATTCCCAATTTCTGTTTAACTTATTTACTATACTATTTACTACACCGCTAATAGTATTTACATCTTCTTTCCTTTCAGTACCTTCTCCATTACTCAAGATTTCTATCTGGATCATTCTTGTTAAGGTGGATCCAGACTGAAAACATTTTAGCCCGAACGAACTAAGCGTGCAAGAGCAAGCAAAAAAATTGTGCTGCTACAACGCGAATTGCGTTCGCGTAAAATGTTCCAGTTGTTTGCAGTGTTTGGAGTCTCGTTTCCTCAAAAATTAGATTTACTAGATAAAACAAATGAACACAAATTACAATTTTTTATTATTTGTAAAATGACCAAAAAGAAGAACAAAGGACGTAGTCAGTTTGTACGAAAATTGTATCTACACCGTACTGGTAATTTGTTATTACGGGAAATGGACCTCATCCACTTTAATAATTTCACTTGAGATAAGTTGCGAAAATTTTTAGGAGATAATAAATTTAATTGGACCTATAATTTAAGGCAAGAGCACAAAATTACGGAGAGCTCTATCCGTTAAAGCTCGTTTGGCCTTAAAATTAAAGTTTTTAGCTTCTGGTGATTCTTTTAATGGTTTTCGAACTATGATGTCGATTAAATTTAAAAAATTCTCGGTCAATCTCCACATTCAAAGAACTAATTCCAAATAATAATTTTTTATGCACGAAAGAAAACACGAATCCCGCGAACAGCCCAATGTTAGCTTCAACTGAATGATTTGGCGAACAATACCTAATATCTTTTGAGCAATTCCGATTTACCGACAGCTGCTGGAAAACGTTTGGCGCGTTCTATTCGTTGTGGCTAAAATGTTCAAGTCTAGACCCATTCTTAGGTGATACATGCCATTCCGGCCCACAAGAAATGTATATAATTGGCTGCTAAAATTATGCTGTACAAGTTACTCAAGAACGTTAAGAGGTTGGCTTGAAGGAAGTCACAAATCTATGCCGTTAGTAGTGCCGTTATGTAGTGCCAATGATTTGGAGTGAACCCCAGAATTATGAAAATGATTGCTACTTTTGTATGGCAGCAATACGAGCAGTATCCGAACATCACATATTTATGTAAAAGACAAGTTCCTCGTGATAATGGCACTTTACTCCACAGTACATCCAAAGATAACTAGAAGAAGGATTGTAAAAATATTTCTGGTCTATGGACTCAATCGAGTTTCCTTTCTCAATGTATTTTCTCATCTTCGTACACTTTATCTAGAATTTCATGTCCATCAAAAAAAGGAATCAAATTTGAATGATCGTATCAGAGATTTAGTACTATCAAAATATACGGCTGAGTTACTTTAATCAAAATTAAAACAGTGGAATTTGTTAGACAAGAATCAGAGAATCTCGTATTTTCGCACAAGACATAAAAGTTTTACGAGTTACGTTTCCAAAGAGGATAGTTTTGTGTATTGTAATGATTATGCAGAGCTTCTTCAAGAACTGAATTTCCCAGAAGAATATGGAGAATGGAGACTTTTTATTAATGCTTTTAAAATTAGTTTAAAAGCCATCTTACTTCCCAATGGTAATAAATACCCCTCAGTGCCCCTCGCACATGCTACAAACATGAAAGTCAATTATACAAATTTGGTGGTTATTACTTGAGAAAATAAAATATTCCCAATACCTGTGGACTATATATGTGCTAATTTGAAAGTAGTAGCTAGATTTAGTGGTTTGCTTGGAGTCATGGAGGATACACTAAGATCTGCTGTGTTTGGTGTGAACGGGACAGTCGTGCAAGAGGTGAACATTACTCAGTGAAAAATTGACCAAAAAGAAAAATTTTAAAACCTGAAGTTAAAAATATATCTCAAAAACCTCTAGGGCCACTAGACTAGAAGTTTTCCTGTCACCACTTCAGATAACGCTGGGATACATGAAAAATTTAGTAAAATCTATGATTAAAAATTGTAAAGGATTTCAGTATAATATAGAATTATACCTTAGAATTAAATTTCTCCGAATCAGTGACACGAAGTTGAAATAAAGAATTTTTGTTGATCCGCAAATATGAGAGCTTATAACAGTTATAGCGTTTAATTTGATGTTAAACAGGGCAAAGAAAAGAGCTTGTGCAGCTCTAATAGAAGTGTGACATAATATCATTTTCAATACGAAAGCTGACAACTATCGAGAGGTCATTCAAGTAGTTATTTGTGTTCAAAATCCTAAGATCTATGATGCAACATATTACTCAAGATTCATTTTTTAGATTCGCCCTTTTCTGCCTGAATATATGGATGCCATACGAGATGGGCATGGTGAAAGGTTTTTCGAGGATATATTGTACATTGAACGAAAATGTTGATCGATTTTGTTTGTTGTCTGTTGGTCGATCTTTATTAATATATGGATTTTTGGCATGTTTTTGCGTTACGTGTATTGGGTCTATTGGATCCTTTTTCTTTCTCGGAACATGGGCTAAAGAACCATATTCGTGGTTTATTAAAAAACAAGTCGCAATTTGAGAGCCACATTGATAAGATAAGACTGAACCAATAGGATACGTCTGGAAACGATTATAATATACGATTATGGCGTGGGGGACTATTGATATAAAAACGTGAAATGCCGATACTAATTTTCTACTAGTTTCACAATTAGTTTCAATTTTACTCAAAATAATAATAATTAATTGACTTACCAGTTGCTGCTGCTGCTTCCGCGCCTTCCTCGTTAACTTCAATGAACGCTTTGTGAATCACTTTGCTAACTTTTAGTTCTTCAGGACTCTTAAGCATGCCACTGAAATCCGCGTTATCACTAAATATGACGCCAAGACCCAACTAGAACAAAAAAATATCAAGTGAATGTAACTATAGAAAAGAGCAAATGAAAAAGGTCATGCTATGTAAAGGTTTATATTATAAAGGTTTGAATTAAATAAATATTCCTAAATATGTGCCCCATAAATGTTTGAAGACCTAAGTTTAAAGTATTAGCTACTTATAATTTTAATTTTAGACTAGAGGGAGGGTGAGGGAGAGAGAGGGATATTAATTTGAAGAGCAGGTGCAAGGGAGATTTAGCAATTGATCTACAAAATATGATAGTGAAACGGGGTACAATTTTCAGTGGGTTTTTAAATATTTCCATAGCAGATGTACAACTAGGCCAGCATGTTTGTCCATATAGACATAGAGAAGGATATATAGAGAGAGCGAAGTAAGCATCGAATCACCAGATTTATCTGCACCCGTACAGGAATTACTCTAAGCTTGAACTTAACAGTGAAGTGGGATAGTCAAGTCTAATCATTATACTTATGCCGAGATAGTTATGTGCGAGTTTAAAAATTTGATTTAGTGCATTATAGAAGATAATGTCTATCTTGCTTCTCTGCCCATAACTGTTTTCATCTTATATTAGTCAAAGTAACTCTTATTTACTGGATTCCTATAGTGTTTTAATTATTTAATGTTATAATTTCCCATTTTGGTTAGATAGCAAGTAGCAGGTAGATACTCTCATAGGAACCCGGTATGAGACAGATCTATTTCAGGGATGAAAAACTGCCCACGCAAACCATGACTGTTCTTCTAACCCCCCAAGGACCAGAAGTTTTGTCCCAACTCCAAGCCACCAAAAAATAAGTGATATAAAATCGTTTAAACGTCGACAAAGATGTTGTAATTTTACCAGCAGACAAGGGAAACGCCACCGTCGTAATGAAGACAAGCGACTACAAAACGAAAATGCAAAATCTTCTAGATCCTGCGGTATATAAGAAACTTAAAAAAGATCCAACAGCATTCACCCTTGGAAAAATCAATAGACTTATAAAATCTTCGTCCATACCAGACGATATAAAGCCAAGAATATGCAACAGCGAAGCAGTCCCACCAAGCTTGTATGGCTTGCCGAAAATACACAAAGACGATGTACCTCTACGCCCTATTATGAGCTCCATAGGCTCTCCGTCTTACAGCCTTGCTAAACATCTGGCCGATATTTTACAATCACATATAGGAAAAAACGATGCATTTGTAAAAGACTCCGCCCATTCCATTGAGAAGATCAAAGGAATAACTTTGCAGGAATCTGACATTCTCGTTAGCTTTGATGTGGTTTCCTTATTTACAAGAGTCCCCTTAGAAGACGTTCTGAATTTAATTGAGGGACTAGTTTCCAAGGATATGGTGGAATTATACCGTATTTGCCTCACTACCACCTACTTTTCATGGGAAGACCAGATTTATGAACAGATAGATGGAGTAGCAATAGGAAGCCCACTAAGCCCGGTCGTAGCCAACCTTTTCATGGAGCATTTAGAGAAGAAGGTAATGGACTCAGCATTCAAGCCAAGGGTATGGTTTAGATACGTTGATGACACTTTTGTGATTTGGGGTCACGGAGTAGAAAAACTTTTTCCTGTCTTGTATAAATACACTACATCCAAATATTCAATTTATGATGGAAACAGAAAAAGATCAAGAACTAGCGTTCCTGGATGTATTAGTAAATCGAAAGGAAGGTTACTTAGGACATAAAGTGTATCGAAAACCTACACACACAGACAGATACCTAAACAGGAACTCAAATCATCATCCAAGCCAAAAGCAAGGTATCATCAAAACTCTGGCGGAGAGGGCGAAGAGAATTTGTGAACCACAACATCTCCAAAGTGAACTTCTTTATATTGAAAAAGCGCTCTCCCCTAATGGTTATACCAGAAGAGAAATACACAAGGAGATAAACAACGTATCTAAAAGAAAGGACGAAGAAACAGAATGTAAAGGCAAAGCGTTCTTGCTTTATATATCGGGGGTAACGGACAGAATTGCACCAATACTTAAGAAAGCCAACGTAAAAACCATTTTCAAGCCTACAAAGAAAATCAGGGATTGTTTAAGATCGGTGAAAGACAAACGCGACCCATTAGCAACAGCCGGAGTATACATGTGACATGGTATATGTGGGAACCACAAAAGACACACAAACACAAGGATAAATGAACATAGAAGCCATTGTTGTTTAGAACATATCGACAAATCTACCCTTGCCGAACACGCTTTGGGAAGCGGAGAACATCGGATACTATTTGAAGAAATACAGATGGTGGACAAAACTTCACAGTACTACCCACGGTTGTATCGGGAAGCAATGGAAATATACAAGCACCCAAATAATTTTAATCGGATAGAAGAAGGACTGAAAATTAACAAGACATGGATACCAATATTAAAATCCACAAACGCCCTTCCCGCCAAACACGAAGAAAGAAAAACTACTACAAACAACGACACGCCCCCTCAAGCCGAAACCAGTGGAGGGAAGGCGACTGGGAAATATAAATATTGCCTCCGTAGTACAACCAGGCGTCACTTTCTGCTTACAAGAGAAGCATTAACATCTCCAGAAGATGCCAACCCCTAGTGTTGGCGAAACGTCGAGAACTAATCGCATAAGACAACGGCCTAACAGCCCGAACAAACAGTTTAATAAGTTTGGCAATTTTTGTTGTGATATCGTCAACTTTTGCTTTTGATCTTACCCAGTCATTACTATTTTTATCTGACAGTCGCATACCTAACATTGTTATTTAAATTGTCCTTTCTGTTGTGACTTTGCTCCACAAGTATTGAGGTATTTGGCCAGTATTGCTCTTCTAGTGATTTCTGCACTTTGGTTTTCTTTGTCAAGTTTCAGAATTTGGCCTAGGTATATTCCTGGACTTGTTCTACCTCAATGCCATTTATAGTTGTACGTCTGGGATCGCCTGTGTTGGTCATTGTTTTTGTTTTTGGCACATTCATTTTAAGGCCGACGTATTAGGAGCTGCCTGCGAGCTCCTTGATCATAATTTGTTATTCTTCGAATGTGCTCGCTATAAACACGATGTCGTCAGCGAATCTGAGGTGGTTTAACGTTGATGCCATATGTTGAACAATTTGTAATTTTGAAGACGTCTTCTAGGGCTAGATTAAAAAGCTTTGGATATATTACGTCGCCTTGTCTAACTCCTCTCTAGTGAGGATGGAATTTGTATTTTCGTCTAGTTGTGCTATTATAGTTACGTTTTCATATATATTGCCTATATGCATTAGTTCCCTATTTCGAATATATTCTACAATTATGAACATCTTGTTCTGTAGCCCACATCTCGATACTATCAAATGGCTTTTCATAGTCTGTGAAGGCCAGAAACACGGGTAGTTGGTACTCATTTGCCTTCTCTATCAGTGTTCTCATTGTCAGCAGATGGTCTGATGTACTATGTCCTTTTCGAAAGTTAGCCTATTCAACTGGTTGGTAATTATCCATTTTTTAAGTCAACCGATTGTTAATAATTCTTTAGGTCACATTTGTCCCCTTTTTGTGTAATAGTACTACTAGACTCTCGTTCCAGCCTTTAGAGATTTTGCTGTTATGGAGACACCTATTAAATAGCTCTATTAGTATTATAGGGATTGTTACTATCTTGCTTGTTTTTAATAGCTTGGCAATTATACCTTCGTGTCCTGAGGCTTTATTATTTTTTAGCTCTTTTAATGCTCTTTATAATTCGAATCCCTCTGTATTCGGTAGTACCTCTGATCCCACGTTTTTAATTTTTCTTTTGACGTTTTCTTTTGTTAATTCATTAGGCTGGCTTTGCGAACTATACAAGGTTTTGTAGAAGTTTTCGACTATCTTTGTTATTTTATATTTGCCCCTCTCTTCCTTATTATTGGTGTCTTTAATTTTGATGACTTTTTGGACACCCAGTGTTGGTCTTAGACATTTTAGGTCTAACTGGTAAGCAGGTTTTGTATGTTTTCAATAAAATTGATAGTGTGTAAAATAATTTATTAATTAAGCTTAGTATACTTTCGACATAATAAATGTCATCATCAGAGCTATCGTCAATTAGGCAATAAATACTTCATAGAAGGAAAATTGTGAACAAACAACATATTAAAAAACAAAGATCGGGCTCTCTAGGCCACAGATCTTGGGTCTAACCCTTATACATATGTATAATTCACATCAAATACTTAAAATAGAAAACATGGCTACCGCATACAGCGACGACAACAGTAATTGACGATAACTCTGATGATGACATTTATTATGTCGAAAGTATAATACTAAGCTTAATTAATAAATTATTTTACACACTATCAATTTTATTGAAAACATACAAAACTTACACTTAATGAAGATACTGGGACTTTTCGTATTGAAAGAGGCGTTCGGCAAGGAGACAACATGTCTCCTAAATTATTTACAACTTTGCTAGAATACGCTTGTAACACAATAGATTGGAACGAAAAGGGCATCAATGTAGACGGAAAATTTTTAAATAACCTTAAATTTGCAGATGATATCGTTCTTATTGCAGACAGCTTTGATCAGGCACAGATAATGCTCCAAGAACTCCATACTGCCACAAAAAGAGTTGGTCTTAAAATAAATTTTTCAAAAACACAATTTATGACAAATTTAGTCCACAACAAAAACATCTCAGTAGAAGACAAAGATATTGAGCCAGTTGACTCCTATAAATACTTAGGTCATGAGATCAGAATAAGTCGAGACAACCAAACAATCGAGCTGAAAAGAAGAATAAACCTCGCTTGGGCTGCATTTGGAAGGATGAAGGATATTTTTAGGTCTAAGATTCCAATGTGTCTGAAAAGAAAAGTATTTAATCAATGTATTTTGCCAGTGATGACCTACGGCGCAGAAACCCTAACGCTCACAAGAACAACAGTGAGTAAACTACAAGTTGCGGAAAGAGCAATGGAGAGAATTATGTTAGGGATTTCTCTACGTGATAGAATACCCAATGCTACTATACGCAAAAGATCAGGAGTAGCAGACGTTATTGAAAGAATAACAACACTAAAGTGGAACTGGGCAGGTCATGTAGCAAGATTAGTTGATGACCGGTGGACAAAAAGAATTTTGGAATGGAGACCCCGAATACAAGCATACAGAAATAGAGGTCGACCCCCAACGAGATGGACAGATGACATAAAAAGAGTGACTACAAATTGGATTCAGATGGCGCAAAATCGGACTAAGTGGAAGAGCATGCGAGAGGCCTATGTTCAGCAGTGGACGTTAGAGGCTAATTGATGATGATGATGATACAAAACTTGCTTACCAGTTAGACCTATTTAGAAGTGTGTACAAGTCTTACAGTCTTTTTCAATTTAGACATTTTAGGCCTTTGTTGTTTTCAATGAATTGCTTTATTCCTCCAGCCCGTTCCTCCACTTGCTCTGAGGCATTCTGTTCTTACGTGATGATATTCTTCATAAGCTCTAAATATTATGATTTTGTTTGAAATTGGTTTCTTGTAGACATATTATATTTGGATTGGTATCAATGATAAGTTGTTGAATTCTTTCTAAGCTGAAAAAGAACCCATCACAATTCCATTGAATAAGTGTGAAAGTTGTTTGTGACTGAATTTTTCAGAATGTTGTGAATGTTCGGTCAGGTCATCATCGTCAGAAGTATCAAGAGATGCTTGTGATACTAGGCTATCTGTGTCGTCTAATTCTGGTGGTAATTCCATTTTGAGCTTCTTTGATATTCTTGTGAACTTATTTTTTAGTGATATGGTAGTTAGGTGTCGATAAATTGCATACATGTCAGATAAAAGTGAATTAAGTCAGAAGTAATTTGCTGGGCTTCTATTGTGAGGTTACTACTTGACTCAACCTCAAGAAAAAATGCTATAAGATGATCTGGTGGAGTAGAAAAGCTTTGGGGGTTGTTGGTATAAAGATCTTTGATTATTTGCTTTGATGTATCTAATATTTTGGATTTATTTGTAAGATCCATGCTCCATGCGAGGCTCTGGAGTTTTTGTTCCATTTTTTTTTTGTCGCGTTTTAATTAATTTTTAATTGTTTAATTAAAAACGTTTTATTTATTTATTTTGTTTAATTAAAGCGTTTTTTAAACATCCTTTTTCTCTCTTCGTTCATGCTAATATTTATTTTCGATCTAACTATAAGATGGTCACTACCAGTTGTTACGTTGTTTATTGTTGTGACGTCTTTAAATGTTCTTTTGTTGTTTGAGAGAAAATAGTCTATTTCAGTTTTGATAGTTCCGTTAGGTGCAATCCATGTCCACTTTCTGTTGTTTTTTCTTTGTAAAAGGTATTCATAGCATACATGTTTTCTTCTTCCAGGAATTCCATAAGTTTTTCTCCTCTTGAGTTTCTTGTGCCGAATCCGAAATTTCCAATCGTATTTTCGGAGTCTTCAATAAAAAAAATATTTAAAAATTCCTTTATAAAATGTATAATATTATAAAGGAATTTTTAAATAAATTTTTTGTGATACATGGTATATAGCCAGCTACACGAATTTAGTTTCCTTGTGGGTCTTCAATTTTGCTTTCAATTTTGTCTAAAGCTTTTTTAAGGTCTTCGTAAAAAGTATTCATCCATAAAGCAATAATTATAGAAAAACATAATACACCTCATAGCATAGCAGAACCTATCTTTTACAAGTAGCATATTATTTAAATAAAAATAAATGGTCTTACCTTGGTGAGAGGAGCCTCCAAATCGATGGTGGTTTCAATTTTAAACTTAGGCAAAGCAACGATAACGTCTGGCCTAAACATATTTTCCGTGATCTTGGTTAGATCAGTATTAGCCAATTTAAGTTCCAACTCATTAATACCGTCTCTCTTATTAGGCAAGATCACGATCATGCTTAGATCTTTGTTGGTATAAGGTAATTCCAAGACTTTGGCATCTAATGCTTCGTCGTTTTTAAAGAAGAACTTCTTTTTGGTGTGCATCATTTGAACATCTATCGAATCATTGTCGTTTAAGTAGAACTTCTCAGTTTTTGTGTCCTCGGGTTTGAACGGTGCAGCCCATTTGCCTTTGAAATATATTGCGTTGACCAAAACTAAGCGGGTTAGAGCATCCAAATCAGCAGGTTGTATCAAATCCTTAATTTTATCTTTTGTTTTTTCTTCAACCCAGGTGTTAATAGTCTTAGCAGCTGCTGCCGATTGGGAGAAATCGATATTTTGAACTTCCGAAAAGAAATTATTGACAACTTTATCTTTAAATTCATCTTTCAATTCATATTCATTTTTGACATAAACCTTGTTAGCCATAAGTAGAGTTACATCCTCAACGGAATTCAGTTTCAGCATAGCTGCTTTGTAGCCCTCGGCCAACGTTGCAATATCAGCTACTTGAAGGGCGCTAGTAAATGCTTTTTGTGTTTTCCCTCCAGACCCTTGTGAAGCCAAAGATAAAATTGCGTGTATACTTATAGGTGAGAAAAATATATTTTTGCCTTTTTCTTGGGCTAGTATCTGGTAAGCGTTTCTGGTAAACAGTCCATTACCCTGGAGGACGGCAGTCAAGTGTTTGTTTTCTTCAGCCATGACGAAAGTTGAAGTTGAGAGTACAAAAAATGTAACGAAGACTGAAACAATAAAAAATATATTAGATACAATTTTACTGAGGTATATGGCTATATAATAAAAAAAACATGTCTCTTATGCTACGTTCACGTTATCGCTTTCCCGTATTTTTTTAACTCGTTACGTGAATCTGGATATGTAGTTTCTAATTTTCGTAAGTTTTACGCCTTCCTGTAAGGAAAACCTCAGCACCTTAGCAAAATTATACAGGCCTCTAAGTCATAATGAAGACCATGGAATAAATCTTGAATGCATACATTAAGAAAAACAATCTTAACGAAAACCCACTACACCAGCGGCAATGGGCGTATCAAGCAGGAAAATTAGGTGAAGCCGCCTTGCACATTCTGGTCTCAGAACTCGAAAGGAGTTTCACCAGATATAAGTCGTCTTTGCTGCATTTTTAGACATAGAAGGTGCATTTGATACTACCTCCATTATTCATATCAGAATCATCTACAGATCCGTATGAACGTGCCATAAACTAAGGGGTGCCGTCAAGGTGGTGTATTGCCACAAACATCATGGAATATAGACGTTGGCAACCTGATTCACGGGTTTAGCAGCCAAGGAATCTGGGTCCAGGTTTTCACAGACGACATTGCATTAGTGACTAGGGGAAAATTTCCCAGTACTGTTGTAGATCATTCTAATCATTCAAATACGACTGGGACTATACTTATGGAATTCATCTTTATGATGAACCCAGATATAATGGCATCTGAACTAATCTTCACATAGTGGATTAACACAATCACCATCTAGAGAACAAAAAGTCTCAAATATTAATCGGAACTTAATAGAGTTGACTGATAGATCTAAAACTAACCATGATACTAAATTTCTTTGGACAGACATGCAATTATAATAAATTTTAAAGCCTAGGTCAATATACGGTATTCGCCAAAATGAAATTAACTATTATATTAACAGTACTGTATTATTAACACCGTCGTGAAAATGGTTCTCAACTAAGGAGAAAGTATTTATAAGAGAGCGTTATTTCCGCTCACATGGAAACGGAAGGAATATTGGCTTAAGTTTGAAACAAGTGTCTGGATGAGAATTTCCGTAGCACCGGTAGTGAAATGAGTTAACGCAACGGCTCTTCTGGACGTCTAAAACAGTTCTTACCAACAATAATCAAGGACGCGATCTCGATCAGATCCAAAACGAAGCCTTCAACATACTGCTTATAAACTAAATATCAGAGAAACAATCACCAATTGACTGTTCAAATCTCTTGGTGGTTATCCTTACCGCATTAAAATTGGAGAAAGACTAAACATTGCAAACAAACATGCAATAGAAGTCTACTGTAGGCGAGTGTTCAGCCTATTGTACAAAGATCCCGATTTCTAAAGAAATGTGCGGTTTTAGGACGAAAGTCACATTCACCTGAACGGTTATATTAATAAACAACTCGATTTATTGGATTTAAACACCCACATATCATTGTAAAGAAACCACTCCACAGTAAACGAGTTACCATTTAGTGTGCTGTGTCTGGGTATTGTATTATTGGTCCTTAGTTTTTTGAAGATGAGAACGAGCATCCCGTTACTGTTAACCAAAAACGTTACAGAGAGAAAATCATTACACCTTTTGTTAAAGATTTACAAAATTTTTGCCGTGAACGAAACATTCAGATCCACGGGATCAAAATCCTTTAAAATGAGAGTTTGTAAGGTTGTTTGTGTTAATTTGTTGCTTAATTATTGCAAAAACAGCTTCAAAAGTCGATGTAATGATAATCAAAATGAAATTATTAAACATAAATTCAAGTTAATACTGAAAATGTAAATAATGAATCACTTCTATATATAATATTTACCAAATTTTGAAAATTACGAAAAACATCAAACAAACTTTTTAAAGAAAAAAATAGGATTTTTTATATTTTAAAGAACTTAAATGTGTGGTGTTATTATAAAAAAAAATATTAACAATAAAAGGCTAGACGATAAGTTACACTGTTTATCCGGTAATGTAACTACGCCATCTATGAAATAAATCTGAACTACGAACTGACATTTCAATCATGTTTTGTTCTTGAAACAATACGGTTAATTTGTTACTAATTCATTCTAAAAATTGGTGATTCAAATATTCTTGAAAATCTTACTGCTTCATCAGTAATTAATTTTTTCGCTAAATTGCTAAAAATATACGTTACTGTAATTGTTAGGTAAGATTTACATACATTTAAGTATACACTTATAAAAATAAAATGACGTTTAACAAACGTAACGCTTTACCAAGATAAAATAAAATATATTTAAATAAAATTAAAATTAAAGAACGTTAAACAGAATTAAGTAAAATTAAATAAAATTAAATGAAATAAAATAAATCTAAATAAAATTAAATAATTGCTATCGACGTATCTTTAAAATTAAATAAAATTTAAAAAAAATTAAATAAAATTCAATAAAATTAAATAAAATTAAGTAAAATTAAATAAAATTAAACAAAATTATGTAAAATTAAACAAAATTAAATAAAATAAACAAAATTAAGTAAAACTAAACAAAATTAAATCAAATTAAAAAAAATTAAATTAAAAAAATAAATAAAATTAAACAAAATTCTATATAATATTTAACAAAACTTTTATAGAAAAAAATTAGAATTTTTTAAATTTTAAATAACTTGAATGTGTGATGTTATTATAAAGAAGTATTAACAATTTAGTAATAAGCTGACGTAAAATTACATTATCCAACATAGTAAAAATGCGCTATAAGAAGTATTCTCTTCTGTCGGCACTCCCCAAGTGACATTGCGCCGTTTTTATTTTCTTTTTTAAGTTAATGAGTGACTGTAGATGGCAATGGATTGATTCTCTCGTCGTATGCAATCGGCAAATCACTAGTAATATATAAATATTTAAAGTAACTATCTTTTCATAATCTTTTCTACTACTAATTATAAAAAGTAAAATTTTGCAAAATAAATATTTATTTTAATTTTTTTAAACAAATTTATTGGTTAAATAAACAATTCACAAATTAACTAATTGAATTTTTATAATCTAGTTGTTAGATAGCTGTATAAAAGAGTGTTACGAAAAAGGCTTTTTATTGGCTAATTTCTTTGGTCTATACGTTTATTGGAGACCACCGGCGAAGGACTAAAAGTTAAACGAAAATTTGGAGATCAGACCATTCGATGAAATAATGATAAGATACGTAATAAAAGACAATAATAATTAGTTTAATTTGTGTATAAAAATAACAAAGAATTATTCATGAACGAGGGTGGAGAAATATCCATTAATATTATTATAAATAATATTGAGGAACGAGTTTTACTTTGATGTAATATTCATAAAGACAATAAGAACAAACCAGTATGAATCAACTTATATAAAGTAGTCGATTTATTTATTGTAGGAATAAAGACAAAAAATAATAATGAACGTGTGTATGAACTCTGAATAGTGGATCGGGTTAATTAAAACACAACGGTTGTTACTAACTGCAAAATATTCAAATATTCTTCTTGTTATTATCGTGCCGTCTTCTTACGAAGGTTGGTGATCACTTCTTTAAACGCTTCCCTATATTTTGCAACGTGAAATATTTGTTCAACACTAAAGTTAGTTCAATCTCTCATACTCCTCAGCCAAGATTTCTTCTTTTTTTCCTCTACTCTTCCTTCCATGATGACGTGCAGAAGGGAGTATTTATAGTTTTGAAGTATATGGCCCAGATACGATGTTTTTCTTATTTTAATTGTGTTTATAATAAGCTTTTTCTGCCATGTCCAACTCGTCTTAATACTTCTTTGTTTGAGACTTTTGCAGTTCAGGGGATTTTAGAATACGCCTACATAGCCACATTTCGAATGCCTCTAATTTTTTTATGGATTGGGGTTTCAGAGTCCAAGCTTCTACCCCATCTAGCATTTGTGACCATACATAACATTCGACGAACCTCAATCTGATTCCTTATCTGGATGTGCCTATCCGTTACGAATGTTGGCGATCATCATGGCAATCTTTATCTTATCTGCAGCAGCGCGGAAAAACTAAACAGATATTGTATTAAACCAGATTTTGCGGTTCTTTAACCAAGATGTTCTACTTCTTCCTGGGCCTCGCTTTCCAAATATTTTTCCTTGCAGGACGGCTCAATCTGATAACCATACTCAATTTCTTATTTGTGAACATTGACTTATATTTTATAAATCCTTTTCGAGCTATTTCAATTCTGACCTTTATCTTCTCATCTTGATCTAACTTTGAGTTTAAAATTGCTTCGAGGTATTTATACTTGTGACCTTCTCTTACGGTTTATCCTCCAATGTCAGATGTATGTTGTCAACAGGGCTTTTCGAGATCACCATGTATTTGTTTTTATCTATATTCATTGTAGTCCCATCTTTTTGCTTTCTGTGTTAATGATTTCTATAAGAATTTGTAAATCTTCTATATTTTCTGCCATGATTACGGTATCGGCTGCAAATATTATGTTATTAATGATGCTCCCTCCAGTCCTTACACCTTCAGTTCTCTTCCATAGTGCCTCCTGAAATTGGTTGGAAGTACACAACACGTATAATATTATACACACAGAAATAAGAAGAAAGATCAGAGATGCAAAGGAAAGATAATATAGTGACAGATGCGAAGAGATTGAACAGTTGGTAGAGAAACATGATAACTTAAACCTTCATAAAAAAAAATTAGGGAAATAACAGGCACTAATATTAAGAAAAAATCAAACATACTGCTGGATAAAAACAGCAAAATAATTATAGACGTCGGTGAAATGCTTAAAAGATGGCAGGAATATATTCAAGAGCTATTTACAGACGAACGGACTGAGATAGTACTAGAGCAGGAAAAGTTCGACAACGGCCCAGACATAACAGAAGATGAGGTATTAGAGGCGATAAAGCGAACAAAAACAACAAGGCAACAGGTCCTGACGAAATAACTGTAGACATAATACGGTTAATAGACTAACAGAAAATTGGAATATCGGTCGACTTATTC